GGAAAAGCATTGCATGGTCCCTTTAAAAGATTGTGCTTTTTCTATGCTTGGAAATGTCTGAACAGCTTGAAAGTTTGCAACTAGACAGAGAGCACCCAAATTGAAATATTTGTATTGAAAGGTCATACTGTTACCAGGCTAAGCTGCATTTTTACCAACACAATAGGTTTTTGAATTTAGCTAATCAATTTGAAGCAGGCTCTTAGATGCCAAAAATCTATCAAATTTGAATCTGACGGTTTTGACAACCTGGGACCAATCTGATTGTAAGAAATTGATAGGTCATCAGGGGTATAAAAAAGGGCAATTGGACAAAGACAGGAGAACTAACTGCCATCTGCCAGAGTTAACAACTTTCAGCTCTCAAGAAAGAATTGCTGGCTCTCACCAACTCCTAAGTCTTAGAGAAAGCACCATCTAAATATCAAAGGTACCAATGGCACAACTAGTTAATAACCCTGACAGAAAAATTGACGGAAGAGGCATTCCTGACAGAACATTTGATAGAGAAGGCACAGAGCATTCTGGAAAACGTGTAATCTGATTGTAATTTTGAGAGACTAACTTTTACTTTTTTAAATTTTATTTTATATAAGTGAGACATGGATTTATTGAAACAGCACAGTATTAGACTCTTGTTTTATTTGGGAATAGTTAGTGGTTAGAAGGGGTTTATTCAGTTTGTTAGTAGTTTAGTTAATTTGTTCACTGTTAGAGTCAGATAAGTGAATTGTTACTTATTAGTTGCAAAGCGAGTGTCAGAGGTTTATTCTGTTTAACCACTAGATGTTGCTGAAAGGCAGGTTACACCACTTTTCACACTCCTTTTACAGATTATAGGGTGAGGTGCTCCTTTTTGGGTGTTTCGGTTTTAGTTCACAGAGGGGTGTCAACTGTGAACCCTCTGTGAAGTAACAGTAATTAGGGACAGACAATAAATGTCTGGCCAGTGACACCCACATACCATCAAAGAATAAAGAAAAAGAAAACGCTTTGTTGTAAAAACATAATTTGTGGGCTCTGAGAATCAACACCATAGGCTGAGACATGATGCAGCAGCAATGAAGTGCTGCAATCATCCAAATGGCACATTCAACCATGGTCCTGGTGACAGGGTTTTTTTTTCTACTGGCCTTGTGCTGCCTCATTTTAGCATCCATAAAAAATCTGCAACCATTCCTGCATCCAATGCCCAAAAATTGAGCAGCTAATGAAAAGTTGCAGACACTTGGGTTGTTAACAAGGTTAATAGCTGGGTGGTTAATGATTTCAAAATGGTGTGCAGTTTGCTGATTTTGGCACCTACCCTCCATCTGCTGTTTGGAGACTGGCAGAATGATATGAGGTTGCCTGACATCATCACACTGAATTTTTCACGAGCATGATGGGGGGGAGCAGCGTGCTCAATTTAGGAATGTAAAATCTGACCTGTTATTTAATTAAAACTGATAAAATAGTGACAATGAAGATGCTACAATTTGTGCAATCAGCATGGGTGTGAATTTAACTCTGAAGAAATCACTTTACTTCAACAATAACCATGTGCAAAAAGTTTTTAAAAAAATTTTGATTGAAAAGGCACGACAGAAATGCAAATATTCAAAACAATAGATCTCCTCTGGACTGAGAGACTGTATGCAGTCTTCACTCTCTTTGTGACCTATAGACTTAACTATTTTGACACACTCCCAGTGGATGTCCCACATTCTACCATCCATGAACCAGAGGTCATCCAAGCTTTTACAGCCCATGTCTAAGTTGAACCATGCCGATCTATCATTCCTGCCAGTCAGTCAGTGCTTGCCAATCCACATTGAAACCAGTGAAGCAACAAATCAATTTTAAAATTCTCATCCTTGGCCCCATCCCTCTCTTTCTTTGAAATCTGCTCCAGTCCAACAGACTTCAGACCCAACAGAATTTCTCTAATTCTGGCTCCGTTTTTTTTCATTTAGCCTATTTTTCTAATCAACCTGTTCAGAAATTTTATTACACACCTCTGGGGCAGGTGGGATTTGAACCCAGGCTTCTTGATTTCAGATTTTAATCACTTCACTTGGGTGGCCATGCCATCAGGTGTTTAGCCCCCAACCTCAAGAATTCCCTCCATACACCACTTTATATTCTCCAATCCTATACATTGGGTCTATTGTTGGGCACCAGTCAAAAATATTTTGAAAATACTGGGAAATTACATCTACTGTGTTACCATTGGCTACACTCAAAAAAATTTTAAAGGTGAGTGTATGTTATGTCTACCCATCACCATTTGCTGCATATTTGTCCATTAGCTGTATATCTTATTTCTCGGATTTATCTTACAGCAATGTAGAATGACTCTGGCTCTAAATCCAAAGAGTTTGTTTCCAGAACTTTAAAATATCTTAGAAATTATAGGTTTCAACATATACATGACCTTTAGAGAGACCCCCAAGACTTACTTTTGTGTGTGGAGTCAGTCACAGGCTTAAAGAACTAAGCACAATTACATAATTTGGTGAACAGACTGGTATAATCAAATACAGATCAATTACCATTAAATACTACATTATTTCAAAAACACAGATTGATTTGTAATATACAGTGGGGAAACAGTAAATTCAAAAAGGTAGTTGAAAGCAGTCTTGTGATTATTTAACTCAAAGAGATCATGGTTCACACTGTTTGTGACAGCAATCAGCAATTGAATGGCACAGCAATGGCCTTGAAAAGTGAAAAAAGTGAAGGTTTAGAAATTGGTATACAACAGAATACACATGAAAGCTAAATCTGTACTTCCGCATGATGTCAACGAAAGGACCGCATGAGAAAAATGGAACAAAAATCAAACAGTATGTGCAGAAGTGGAGAAGCCATTGGCAGAAATGTAAAAGACATTCACTTCAAAATAATCTCCTCTTAATACATTTATGTGATACATCATAATTAATTATCCACAATGTCCACATCTTCAGCTCTATAATGACAACTAGTGTTCATCAGTGAGCAAAGATCCTGTTTTTGAGATATGGTGATACTGTACTGCAATTGGTCAAGTATTTCAGCAGGTACAATAGAATGCATAACTTGTAAATGAGATACTATTCACTGACTACAATCTGACTTTTCTCTAAACGTCCAAGATGCTTTTGCATTTATCTTATCAATAGTAATTTATCCTAAGGATTTTTGGAAGAAAATCTGTAGCTACTATATTCCCTATATTTGCTTTTACAAAATTCTAAAAACATGCAAACATAAAATCATTAGATAGCCTAAATTGCTTCTTCAATAACATAAACCCCTCTTATATTGCCCAATTAGTCTAATTTGTCAATGGTTGTTCTCAAAACCCAGTATGCTAGGAAACAGCTATCTCCATATGAAGTTAATTACTTCTTATAATAGCATAAATATTTGGGTTGAGCCAGTATTCATGCAACAAAAGATCTCCATTCCAATTTGTTGCTAATGAAGATCAGTTAACATTCACAATGTGTAAAAGCAGCAAGCAGTTTATAATAGACATCAGTTTATTCTCTTTTCATTGGCTTTAGTTCTTTAAGCCAGAAGTTGGTGGAAAAGTCTTGAAGTAACTAACATTGAGTAGAAACAGCGCCTGCGTTTCAATGCTTACATGAAAATAAGTGGGCTCTTACTGCCAGGACTGCAAACATTCAAGTTTTTTTTTGCTGTTGCAAATTAGTAAAGCAAATGTTTTGGATGTTCAAGCACTTACGTTCCATTTGTTACTAATTTTAAAATTCCTTCCAAAGCAAAGCTCTGCTTCTGAAAGGCCACATCCTTTAAAGATTTAAATGAGCCAAGTAATGCCTTTACAATTAATTTGATGGCTTTTGAGTAGTCAGGTGATATGATTAAGAGAACACAACATTACTGAAGTGTTTACAGCTTTTCTGTATTTAAAACATTTGAGGTAGATTTAGTAATTCAGTAAATGGATTAAATTTAAGAAGTAAACCAATAAGAAAGAGGAAAAAGATCATATTAAATCGCATCACAAATAAGAGGGGATGAAATACTTTTTGATAACAGAAATGTATTTTTTCCTGGTTTGAGGCCCCTTCATATTTAATATAGCTAGAACTAATAATGAAACACAAAGCAAGTTTTTCAGTAACACATTTTGTAAGGATATCTGTTTGAGTTTGAAATGTTGTTAAAAATGTACTCACCGAAACATGTTTTCATTTATGTATTGAAGGTAATTAGATAGCTTTTGCTCCAGAAATTAAGATTGTTTCTGATACTGTATTCATGGTCAGTGCCTATTTTAAATACTAATCATTGTGTCTGCCTTCTAATAGTAAAATTGATCATTTACATTGCATAATTATGCTATTAAAATAAAAGGATAGGGTGTTAGTAATATTTGTGAATTCTCTAATTGAAATATTTTTTGTGTGTGATTAATTAACATGGCTTTCACCTAGCCATTTGTTTGCTCTCCAGGCAGTTCTAGACCAGCAATTGTTTCAGTTGGACCAGTCCTTCCATAAGATTTCTCTCTCTGAATTCAATGAATAGGTGAGATTAAATATATGCTCACCAGCACTTTGTGCATATATATTCCACATGTGCAATGCCTAGCTTTTCTTCATTAATCTTTCCATTTTGCATTTCTGCTCCCAATTCAAAAATTATACTGTTACTATAAAGGAAAACAGAGATTTTTGAGGGACCAGCATTAATTGCATATTTCATGTTTGAGTAGAATTATTCCCACAAGCTTATTTGTTGAGACTTCCCCAAGACAAGATGAAATATTTCTCACTAAATCTTGCTGTTTCCAGTGCAGTGACAGCAGAAATTGGACAGTTACCATTATTTGTGCTAAAGAACGTCTAGTAATTTAAATTCCACATTTAAAGAACATTTGTATTTAATTAGACATAAGTGGTAGGTTCAAGAAGTTCAAAATCTGCCATATACTGAAAGAAACATGAAGAAAAGTCCACAAGCTGTTTGAAGCAAACAAAGAAACATTATTGATAGTTTATTTGGAATTCTTAATTGTTACTATAACAAAGAAAATGATAGACAAAAGAAGACACAAGTTATATCCTAAAGAACAGTACCACATACTACATTTACAATATTACAAAATAGATGAGTGCAAGTAGAATTCATAGGAACATTCACAGTGGCATCTTCCATTGAACTGGGAACTTCTAAAATTTTTAGTGCTACAAAATCTTTGCACAATTAGTAATGGAGAGATCTGCAACCTCTGTTAACGCCTATGTGGAAAATAATTTGGACAGCTTTATTCAGCAAGGTTTATTAGAACCCCAGTTGTAGCAAAATAGCCCTGCTCTTAATCAAAAAGATGATCCACTTTCACCCTGTCTATAATTCGATTCGAAAATAGGAAGTATAACAAAGACTAGCAATTACTTAGTTGCAGACTCAAGTACATCCAAAACAATCAGGCAATATGATCAAATGTTTACAGCCAAATTATGATGGATCTTGCAGCTTTTTTTTTAAATTACAGAGCTTGATTTCCCAGTTTTGGTCTGTAACAATTGTTACTCGGGTTGTCTATGTCTTATTCGGAGAAAAAACACACACTTTCTTAACTCTCCTGAGATGCTGCTAAAGCATAATCAGTCAGGCCACTTCAGTATTCTGAGGAGGGTCAGGTAGAGGGGCGTGAGGGCACCGAATATTAATGCTGTACAGTCTGGGCCATATCAAGCCCTGAAACATTTTAGCAGGCATTCAAGGTAGGTGATGTTTCTTGGGAAAATTAAGAACATTTACAAATCATATCCAGCAAACTCCAAACGAAAAGGCAGACCCAGTCAAACAAAACTGTTGCTTATGAGATGTAACAAAGTCATAGTTATGGGCAATCTGAAGCAAATGAATTGCTCATAATTTTTCAGGAAAACAGCCACAGCCAATTAAACATTGCATGAAAGTTGTTTTTCCACTGCCAGGCCATTATCATGCCAGAAACAGCAATAACACAAAAAAGGAAGCCATAAGCAGAGGACCTTCATCAATTAAAACCTTCCTCACGTGAGTGAATGATCTGAAGCACCTAGCTAGAAAATAATGAGAGTCCTGGTATACCTTTCTGAATATAATTTGAAAGAAAAAAGATTAGATCCATGTATCATCATCATTACATTGGCCGATACAGTCATCAAATTCACGCACTTCCAGACGGAACTTACTTTTAATTTTTAGAAATTAATGTTTTGAATGTGCCATATCAATCGGTATTTCAGGCACTCATGCGTGACTTTTATTTGAGTGGGATATTGACTGCATTATTCTTGTATAATATGTTAAACTTGCAGTTTAAACGGTATGACAATGAAAGTCAGAAATACCACAGTATTCTTTGTTTGTAGACTATATCACACAGTGATAACAAAGAAATATCCTACAGCAACAGCACTGAAGCCCCGTGCAATCCAATTTACAGCAATACCTCACAAGATGCAGACACAAATACAAAAATATAAAATTTGAACCATAATGCACTTTTCCTTTACTGCATCAGTGGAAACTATTTTATCCAAAATTAGAGGATTCAACTGTGGGAATTTAAAAGATTTAGACATTTGCACGTTTTTCATTAGACCATTGAAAATTAATTTATCATCCGACTATAATATGTTGAATGGTATAAAACTAGAAGGTTAAAAGCAAATACCTCTTATGTGAAATATTTTTAAAAAGACATGTCGTCTGTTTTTAAGAACATTCCAGCAGCTGCTTAATCTTGTACGAAGATTATAATTTGGCCATTTTAGCACAAGACATAGCCATGCCATTGTGACTGGAGAATGCTTTCCAGCATGAAAAATAACATAGCATGGAATTTAAAGATCAGTACGAAAGATTCTCAAAGCTTGAGCTACATACCGTGCTAAGAACATTTCAGCAAACAGTTCCTTTCGGCACTTCATAGCATGCAAACCTGTGAATTGCTTGAACCTTTGCATCAAACCTCAGGCAATTATTTGTGCAAAGGCTATTTTTACAGTCTTTTACAAAATACAGACCGATTGTTTGGACGCCTCATGACCAGTATCAAAGGGAGAAACACATGCCAGGGTCACAAAGGGTTCATTGATCTTCTGCGTCATCCTCATCCAGAGATACTACACCTGAGGAAGCAACGTCTGATACTTTTCTACGTCCCTCATACTCGCCATCCTCCTTCTTACAGATGGTTTTGTATTCTTGGCATGACAAGTCATCTTCCTCTGGGGTAAAACAAGATTCAGCATAAGACACAGAATAAGAGGAGTCCTCACAGATAAGGTTCCTAAAGGCACATTCAGTGTTGCTGTTTGGTTGCAGCTGAGAGATCATGTCCCTATGATCAGTCATTGCACTGATCTGACCAAACAGTTTTGTGGCTAATTCGGTGGGGGACCCCAGCTCCATTTTAAGCAAAGGGTGATCTTCCAGACTGCACAGACTTGAACAAAGGGTCTCTGGGGAGACAGTTTGGGAGGAATCACTTTCCTGCTCACATGATGCCTGTCTCACTGTTAGTTTGCACAAATGGCTATGCAGCATATCTCTCGAGCAATTCATTTGGGGGTACTGTCCGGCAGCATCTGAAACAATAAGATAATTGCAGTTCAGAAATACAGTGGTATGATTGGATATTACAGTCCTACAATTTCTTGATTATTGGACAAAAGTCATACACAGTAGGTAGAGATTTAATGCATTCACATACAGTATTTGATCATGCATTCTAAAGATAAAATCTGAAAAAGACAGAATATATTCTAGAAAGCTAATAAGTTATTAAAAATCTATTTTTTACCTTTCCCTATTAAAACTGTTCCCTAAGAAGCCTCAATGCTTGCAGAACTGAATATTTGGTACCATCAATCCTGGTTTTACTGTCCGTGGCCAAATGTTTTTAGGTGTAACAGACAAAATTATTGATTTCTTTCAGCTTCACAGGGTATCAATAGAAACATTCCAGATGTACTACATGGATGATGGCTAAAGACTGGTGAAGATTATGTCACAAGTAATTTGTCAGCCTTTTTCAGCAATCACAGTATAAAAACACCAGAATTGGATTAGACCATAATGGCCCATCAAGCCTGCTCCATTGCTCAATCTAATCATGGATGATCTTAGCCTTCAACCTGATTACCTAAGAGACCATAAATAGATTTTAAAAACCTTCTGGCGTGCGGAATTCTAAAAATTCACAATCCTTTGAAAGAAGTAATTTCTTCTCATTGTAGTCCGAAATTATCAGAGTTTTATCCTGAGACCGTGCCCTCACTTCTTAGATTGTTCCAGCAGTGGAAGTCTGTACTTGAAGTAATTAATTCTGCTCCCAGTGTTAGATTATTAAGGGGAATCTTTCAGGATCATGGGTGGTGCTCCCACTGCTCACAGGACCTCTAACATCCATTCCATACATGTTCCCCACCACTTGGAATCTAACATACTTAAAATTCATGGGGTGGCAGTACACCCAATTCTTAAATCATTTATCACTTCAATTCTACTCGGAAATCAGCAAAGGCAGGATGGGAAATCTAGTCCTGATGTGACAGAGATGATGCATCTGGTTTCAAGTGCCCACATTAAAGTCAGGAAAACTGATAAGGCTCTTTCTTCTGATATTAGAAAATGGCCCTCTACTGGAAGTGCTTGTATCTAGATGTTAAGCAAGGGGAAGACTGATCCTAGTTGTGAAGTCTTCCACAATTAGATAGCCGACATACAGTTGTTGTCAAGGATCACACACGAATCATGCATATGCAACATACAGCGACTACCAGCCATGTAATGATACTTCACATGTTCTGAAGTAGTCATCTGGAACTCAAAACCTTGACTCAGTTTGTCTCTCCACAGATGCTGCCAGACCTGCTGAGTTTTTCCAGCAATTTATGTTTTTATATCAGATTTCCTGCATTTGTAGCATTTTGTTCTTATATAAAAAGAGGCCTTTGAAAAATGACAGTGGGAAGATGTTGGAGGGAGATTTAAATTGCAACCATGTGATGACATGCAAAGTTAGAAAAATAACAGTAACAATAAATAAGCCTTGAAAAGTATCAGAACTATAATAAAATGGTGGAAAAAAAGACCAAGAGAAACAGACAGAACAAGAAAGGTTATTCATGACAGTACAGATGCTGTTATTTACAAACATATTTTGAATTATAATAATAGTTTAATTGGCTCCATACTGTTTCTGCCTCACTCATACTTGAATGGACACAAGGCAATATATGTAAGGAGAATCATGAAAACACAGTAAAAGCACAAAGAACAGTTACGTCCACAGCAGCACCAAAGTCATATAATTCAGTACAGATTCAGTACAAAGTGATAATCAATACAACGATAGCAGAACAAAAGTGATTTGAAAGGGACCATTACCAGCTGGCAGAGTGCTGTCACTAGTTGGTACAAAATCTTCATCATATGAGTCATCATTTGAATCATCGCCATCGACAGAAGACCACGCTTTGAGTTTAGCCTCTGCAATCTCAAATTGTTCTGCCACACCTGAAATGCAAATACCTTATTTAAAAATCAGTGTGAACAGAGATTAGTAAATACCTGTGTGTGCTACTAAATTAAAGATTTCATATGATATGCAAAACTGTATGATATTCATCCTTGAACTCCAACTCATTCCTCAATATTATGAAATATTTTTGAGAGGACATTATCAAGAACATATGTAGAGAGGACTAATTGAAATAGTAAGGTTTCTGTTAGTGTCTCAGCGATGATGTGATATTATAGACCAGTTGTAATCTTGCTACCAAAGCTCCAAATGTGTGATTAGTAAATGTTTTATCAATTTAAAATTTGCACAAAGTGTCATGGACGGAAATAAATTTGCAGTGGTGTGAAAAATCAACTATTTTCATTATGCAAGCCAGCAAATCTCTATATTCTTGTTTATAAAATTAAGCAGTAGTGAATTTGATACTGCACAACACTTAAAACTCTGTGATAGCAGGAACTGCAGATGCTGGAGAATCCGAGACAACAAGGTGCAGGGCTGGATGAACACAGCAGGCCAAGCAGCATCATAGGAGCAGAGAGGCTGACGTTTCGGGCCTAGACCCTTCATCAGAAAAGGGGGAGGGGAAGGGGGTTCCGAAATAAATAGGGAGAGAGTGGGAGGCGGATAGAAGAGGGATAGAGGAGAGGATAGGTGGAGAGGAAACAAACAGGTCGAAGAGGTGGGGATGGAGCCAGTAAAGGTGAGTGTAGGTAGGGAGTTAGGAAGGGGATAGGTCAGTCCAGGGAGGACGGACAGGTCAAGGGGGCGGGATGAGGTTGGTCGGTAGGAGATGGAGGTGCGGCTTGAGGTGGGAGGAGGGGATAGGTGGGAGGAAGAACAGGTCAGGGAGGCAGGGACGAGCTGGACTGGTTTTGGGATGCGGTAGGGGGAGGGGAGATTTTGAAACTTGTGAAATCCACATTGATACCATTGGGCTGCAGGGTTCCCAAGCGGAATACGAGTTGCTGTTCCTGCAACCTTCGGGTGGCATCGTTGTGGCACTGCAGGAGGCCCAGGATGGACACGTCATCTGAGGAATGGGAGGGGGGAGTTGAAATGGTTCGCGACTGGGAGGTGCAGTTGTTTATTGCGAACTGAGCGTAGGTGTTCTGCAAAGTGGTCCCCGAGCCTCCGCTTGGTTTCCCCGATGTAGAGGAAGCCACACCAGGTACAGCGGATGCAGTATACCATATTGGCAGATGTGCAGGTGAACATCTGCTTGATGTGGAAAGTCTTCTTGGGGCCTGGGATGGGGTTGAGGGGGGAGGTATGGGGGAAGGTGTAGCACTTCCTGCGGTTGCAGGGAAAAGTGCCGGGTGTGGTGGAGCTGGAGGGGAGTGTGGAGCGGACAAGGGAGTCACAGAGAGAGTTGTCCCTCCGGAAAGCAGATAAGGGTGGGGAGGGAAAGATGTCTTTGGTGGTGGAGTCGGATTCACAGCCAGCAGCTCCAGAGGAGACAGCAGCACCCAGCCCTGCCGAGTCTTCACCATCCCCCCCAGACCTACCCCTTACTGAGGACGAACGGTCAGTCCTCAGTAAAGGGCTCACTTTTGTCCCCCTCCACCCACAGATCAACGAATACCGCTCACGCTTGGACATAGAGCAGTTTTTCCGCCGCCTCCGCCTTCACGCTTACTTCTTTAACCGTGAACCTAACCCTCCCTCTACTGACCCCTTCTCCCGCTTCCAACACACCCCCTCCTCCTGGACACCACCCCAAGGCCTCCTACCCTCCCTCGACCTCTTCATCTCCAACTGCCGTCGAGACATCAATCGCCTCAACCTCTCCACCCCTCTCACCCACTCCAACCTCTCCCCCACAGAACGTGCAGTCCTCCGCTCCAATCCCAACCTCACCATAAAACCCGCGGACAAGGAAGGCGCAGTTGTAGTATGGCGCACTGACCTCTACATCGCCGAGGCCAGACGCCAACTCTCCAACACCTCCTCCTACCGCCCCCTTGATCATGACCCCACCCCTGAGCACCAAACCATCATCTCCCAAACCATCCACAACCTCATCACCTCCGGTGACCTCCCATCCACGGCCTCCAACCTCATCGTTACCCAACCTCGCACCGCCCGCTTCTATCTCCTTCCCAAAATCCACAAACCTGAATGCCCTGGTCGACCCATTGTCTCCACCTGCTCCTGCTCCACCGAACTGATCTCCAACTATCTGGACTCCATTTTCTCCCCCTTGGTCCAGGAACTCCCTACCTATTTCTGTGACACCACCCACGCCCTCCACCTCCTCCAGAACTTCCAATTCCCCGGTCCCCAACACCTCATCTTTACCATGGACGTCCAGTCCCTCTACACCTGCATTCCCCATGCAGATGGCCTTAAGGCCCTCCGCTTCCTGTCCCGCAGGCCCGACCAGTCCCCCTCCACTGATACCCTCATCCGCTTAGCCGAACTAGTCCTCACACTCAACAACTTCTCTTTCAATTCCTCCCACTTCCTACAGACAAAGGGGGTAGCCATGGGTACCCGCATGGGCCCAAGCTACGCCTGCCTCTTTGTAGGTTACGTGGAACAATCCCTCTTCCGTACCTACACCGGCCCTAAACCCCATCTCTTCCTCCGTTACATTGATGACTGTATCGGTGCCGCCTCGTGCTCCCACGAGGAGCTCGAACAGTTCATCCACTTCACTAACACCTTCCACCCCAACCTTAAGTTTACCTGGACCATCTCTAACACCTCTCTCCCCTTCCTGGACCTCTCCGTCTCCATATCGGGCAACCACCTAGAAACCGATATTCATTTCAAGCCCACCGACTCCCACAGCTACCTAGAATACTCCTCCTCCCACCCACCTTCCTGCAAAAATGCCATCCCCTATTCCCAATTCCTTCGCCTCCGCCGCATCTGCTCCCAGGA